GATTAAAAATATGTAAAGAGTATGTATGATAATTGATCCAGTTAGAATGCCAAGTTGATACTTTTAAAAAAAATGTTTGAAGAGTAGTAGAAGTGTCAGGTGTGGGAAGTGTATTATGTAAGGATTTGGATATGGATAATGACTGAGGTTGTATTGGTTGAGGTTGAGGTCTTGAGTTACAATAAGAAATCCAAATATTTGAGTAAAGTTGTTTGTTGATATGTAGAAGGAATTGTATAGAAATTAAGACAGCTAATTGGTTAGATATAGTAATTTACATATTGTATATATAATATTATAAAAGATGAGACCAGAAAGTGTAGAGAAGATAGAGGGCTTATCAGAGAAGTCATATATTAAAAAGCTGTCAAGGTTGATAATTTAATTGTATAGCTAATTAATTTTCAATAAAGAGATTTGAAGTTTGTAAGTAGATAAAATTTGTTGTAAAGAATTTTAAATAAGTGTATATAAGAAGTTAGGAAAGAGGCATATAGCCCAATGAAATATAGTACTTGTTTGTTGATATATAATAGGTATTGGAGTAAAGAGAGTTTATTTTATATAAAATATGAGGTGCAGAAAGTTCATTAATAAGAAGTTTAACTTTAAATATTTCAAAAGTAGAGGACTGGAAGCTATAAGCAAAGTTAGAAACTTTTTGATTATTGTTTAGGTAAAACCAAGTTGCATTTTAGTTTAGATATTGGGAGATACATATCCAAAATTAAAAATGGTTTTCAGATAACCAAAGAGCAAAGGTATTTGCATAACATATAGTTTAGATACTGTGATGAATAGGAAGCTTGAGAGAATAGCCTTCAAGAATAGAGTATACAAAGGGTTGTAGATATTGTAAGAATTAAATATAAGAAATGGTAAATGAAAGTGGTTACAAGCTAGCTCATCAGCTTTGTTATTAAGTGTATTATTTTGGTATGCTTTAACTTTATGAAAAGTGATATGATTTAGTAAAGTTAAGAAGTATGTTCTATATAAACCAGTATAGTATGTTGGAAGAATTAGAGCTAGCAGGTTGCTGGGTTAGACTATTGTACTTAGATATAACTGATTAAGAGTCTGTAAAAATTTGGATATTGCAGTTTCTAGAAGCAATGCATATTGCAAACAGATTGTGAGCAATTTAGCTTTAAAAGAGCATAGCCATAATGAGATTTGTGTATTGAATATGTAAAGGATATTATTGTTATCCACTTGTAGCCAACCAATTCTCATAGAGCATTGGAGGTTTTCAGAGTTAATAACAGATCCATCTATATAAAATATGAGATCAGTAAAATGGTTGTTGAAATTTGCAAGCTATTAAAGAGTATTAGATAATGAATTAGTTAAGAATATAAAAGAAATTTGTGAGGTTTGTATAAAGAGGTTCAGTGATGCAGGAATTGAGAAAGCATCTTGAAGTTGAAATGAATATATAAGGTCAAGAGAGTTTGCATTGAAATTGACTGACTTGCAAAATAAAGTTTGTCAAGAAATTTAATAGCATGGCTAGTTGGAATAAGAATAGTATATTTATTATTAATAATATTGGAGTTAAGCCAAGGTTTGGAGTATTTTTGAAAGTGATCAGTGTTATAGCTATAGTAATTAGTTGGTGATAATTGTAGCTGAGAAGAAATATATTGGTTGAGAGAATGGTTAATAATAGAGCTTTTTAGAAGTTTAAACTATTGTAAAATTTTTCTCCTAGATATTTTATTGAGTCTTTGAGAGATATGCTTCTAGTCAAGAAGGCAGTAATTATTAGAAGTAGTGAGTTGGTCAAGAAAAAGTATGTGGTAATAGTGTAATTGTTTTTTAAAGGTAGCATAGTTAGAGTGTGATAACAAAATAGATTTAAGAGTAATTGACCTCTCTTGAATTGTGAAAGGTATAGTTGTATTTGGATTAGAATTAATTGTCTAATTTATATTTTTGAGAAGTTGTATAACTTTGAAGTTAGTAGTAAGTCTGTTAGGACTATTAATGAGAGGATTGGGATGAAATAATATGCTAGTGGAAAACCAGAGATTATATTGAAGTTGTTGGATTTGGATGTATATAGATGTGCCAAGAAGAGATCTATTATTGAGGCATTTAATAAAGTTAGGAATATGGTGTTAAAGTTGAATGTCCCAAATGTTTTTAATGTTGTAGATCTGTAGATAGAATAAAATACTAGTAGGGATAGTAAGACAAAGTTTAGCTTTATGTTTGACTAAGTTAATATGTTGTCTAAAGATTTTGTTGCAAACAGATTGACTAAGAAAAATATTATAGATTCTATATTCTAAGATAGAGATAATAACAGTATTAATGATATATCTAGCCTATGTATTAGTTATTTGTTTAGTACTAGCAATTTTAACTAGTTAAAAAGATTCAGAAGAGATAAGTTGAATCTGTTTAGTATATTTGTTGTTAAGAGTAAACCAGCAGCCAAGAAACTTAAAAGACTGATTAGCTAGCCATGGAGGAAGTATTTTATTATTGAATGAGATTGGATAGTAAGCATTTGGTTTAGAGTTGAATATTAAATAGAGTTAACTTTAATATTAGCCATATTGTAAAAGGATTTAGCAACTGAGAAAATATTAAATAGCTCAGTTTGACTAGATACAACACAGAGCTATTGGCTTCAAGCTTATTGATAGAAAAATTCTTTAAGTTGGTAGGCTATGAGACAAAAGTTGAGTAGCCAGAAAAAGTTGAGTATATATAGATAATTAGAGGATCATAGTAGATTCGCCAAAGCAAAGGAGTAATAGTTTCTCTTAATCAATACCATTTTGAACCTGATATAGTGTCAAAACAAAGTTGGTTATAACTTCATTCTAGTGATTTATGAGTAGGTTTGAGAGAATATTAGTAATAGATTGAGAAAGAGAGAAATGATAAAGAGAATATTTAAAGAGATCAAGATTAACAAAGTCATAAACTTTACTCATATCCTGAGATAAAAGCCAGTTCTCTTTATAATTGCAATTGGCATCTTTAATTAGATTATTAAGAATGTAAATAGAAATAGATATACTGTTGCCAGATAGAGCTACATAATTAAAGAGTAAAAGGATAGGGTGTTGAGAAAAGACTTGGTTGAGTCTGTTAGTTAGTATTTTGGTATAGGTTTTTTTAACATGTTCAATTAAACTAATTAGACAAGTGAGATTGAGATTTCTGTTAAAAATATTGTTTTTGGGTATAGGGTAGATTCTGGCATGTTTCTATAGCTTGGGCATAGAGTTTTCAGAAAGGCAGTGATTAAAAAGCACTGTGAGAGCAGTAATGTAGTAGTGACTGGGATGTTTAATCATCTCATAGCTTATAACTGTAGGTCCACAGGCTTTCCTATTAGGGAGCTTAGAGATGGTTTGAAGAACTTCATTAACAGTAATAAGTTGTATGAGTGAACTATATCAATTAGATTAATATGAGAGAGTGGTTGGTATTATTGTTGCTAAAATTATTAAAAAGAGTTGAATTGATGGGTTTGTATATAGTCAAATTATCAAAATATATTTGCACATATTGCTAATTATCATTGGATTAGTTATAAGCTAGTTGGATAGCTTGATGTTGGTAAAGTATACAGAAGGCTAATATTGATTAAGTATGCTATTAATAGCTTGGGTGGGCTTGGATACAAGTGTTTTGCATCTTTTTTCTAAAGCCTGGTTGATTTGATATCTAAGGTAAAGAAAGTATTTAAGATAATAGATATGATAAACTTGTTTTTATATAGTATAAGCATATTGTAGCTATGGTTGGACAATAGTATGATAAGTAAGTCAATATGTAAAAGATATAAGTTAGAGTAGTTATTGTTATTTTTGTGAATGATATTTTGTTAGGAATAGTTTTGATTGCAGCATGTATTATACAGTGCTGGAGTTTATACCAAGAAGTATCGATACTTTTGAAACTATCAAGAGTAAGAGAAATATTACTTCTTCTGATTAGTCATGTAGTAATCTTAGAAAATTCAGACCATTGATCGTTAGATATAGATTTATAATCAAAGATTCTACAGCTAATATTAGTATGAAAATGAGAGGTTTGCTATAGGTATTAGAGAAAGTCCATGAGGTTTAAAGAATGAGATAATCACTAAAGGTGCTGGTTTTGCTATTATCAAGGTTATAATCAAGAAGAAATTGTATATTAAAAGTATTTATTCAGATGTAGTCAATTCTACTAGATTGTGTTTCATTAAACCAAATAGGGTATGTATGATTAAAGTGTACTTCAATATCAAACATATTAGAGCAATGTAAAAAGTTAATGAGTTTGAACTTAGAGAAAGAGCTAAAAGCAGTGTCTTGTGTATTAAAATCATCTAAAATAATAGATTGTAGATTATGCTGTTGTGCTTGTATAATCTAGTTGATAACTGTGTTTTGGGTAAGGGTATATCTAGTAGAATCTGTTGAAGAGAGATAAACAGAGATTATCTAGAGTTTAATATTACTTTTAAAGAATAGGTTCAGTGCAATAGCTCCACCAGAGTGTGTTAAATAGCTATGGATATGGGGCTTAAGATAGTTGTGAACTATAATAGCTACTCCTTTTATAAAACTATCCAAGTTAGCCTAGTAGTAGGTAAAGAGGTTATTATTGTAAAAGAAAAGTTTAGTTTTATTTGAGATCTTGGTTTAAGTAATACTGGCAATAGAAATGTTATAGTTTATGCAATAGTATTGTCAGATTTGCCTCTTAGAGGTAATATTAAAGCCTCTAACATTATGAGTAGCAATAGTAAGATATAAATTATGGAAGTTAAATTGTGTAGATTGTATAGATGAACTGCTAAAGAAAGGAGTAGATCTTATAGAGGATTTGTAGTAAGCAGAATACTGTTGAGAGGAAAGTGTGATGTGGAGTACAATTAATAACTTCTATTCCAACTTTTATATACTTATTAAAACTTTATTATTAAACTAAACTCTAACTCAAACCTAAATTCTAATTCTACTTTAATCTCTGGTTAATACACTACAATGCAACAACAAAATTATAAATATCAACCAAGTATCTACAATACTAATATGGCAAAATCACAAGCACTGATGATTTAAGGCCAAGACAAATCCACAAATTCTATCAATACACCAAAATTAAATACCATCAAACAGTACAAGTTACAATAAAAGTACAACAATATAATTATACCAATGACAAAATTGGTTTAAATAAAGAGAAATATAAAAAACAAGTGACTTTATCAATGAAATTGCCTAGAAGAATATCGGTAATTATAAAAAAAAACAACTCAAATGACTCAAATGATAACCAATAACTCAAGAGCAACAACTAACAATAAAATCACAGCTAGAAGAAAAATGTTAATAATTACAAAAAAAACTCAAACAACTCAATGACAATCTTATCAAACTTCAACAATTAAAGAATGATAACTTTAACAACTAAAGAACAATAATTCTAACAACAAAATTACATCTAAAAAAAGAATATTAGTAATTACAAAAAAAAAAGCAACTCAAATAGCTCAAACAATAAATTTATCTAATAAAAATAACAACTCCAAAAGCAATAACTCCAACAACAAAATCATGCAAGAAGAGAATTGTTAGTAATTATAAAGAAAAAACATAAACTCAAATGATAAACTTAGTAAAAACTTTAATAACTCCAAATAACATTGGCCACTCCAATGCTAGATTTAAGCTAAAATAAAAAATAGTAGTTAAGTCAAGACAAAAAAAAACAAAAAAAAACAAGAGAATCTACTCACAAAAGCTGCTGATTTCACATTCAGGTGATTTCCAAACAAGCTACTCTGAAAAATATATAAACCATATTATAAAAACACCAAAGAACTGTACAAAAGAATGTATACAAGACTACCACCCTACAAGAATACTGAAAAAACAAATAAAACTACTTTAAAAAATGTTAGAAAGTATAAAGATGCCAAATCTAAAAAAAATCTAATTACAACACCAGCAATGAGGCACTAATAATGATACCAACTATAATGAAAACCAAGAAATCTAGTAGTGACACCAATAACAATGATACTAACTATGATAAAAACCAGAAAAATGCAAAAAAGAAAACAAAAAAAACAATAATTATTAAAGATAATTATTGTTATATATGATGTATAGAGATGCATAACTATGCAAGTGCATGAAAAATATTTTCTCTTATTTTAATATAGCTTTAAAATTTAAAAAAACTTAATCTGGAAAAAAGCAATCTAAAAGAAAGTTATTACTTATTAATACTACAGTCAAACCTTTCTAAATATAACTTCTCTAAATATATAATAATGTAAAATCTCTCTAAATATATACTTTTTTTTTTGGTCAAACTTAATATAACACATATAGATTTATATCTTTCTAAATGTATATTTTTAAAATTTTTATTGCAATCTCAATGCTATGCATTTAGAAAGATCTGACTATACAAGAAAAAGATCATACCAAGACACTACTTCATTAGAAACTAATAAAATTGTAGCAAAAATAAATCCTATTGCTAATTTGAATAATAAGAGTAATAAAATTCAAGACATTGCTCCTAGTGATGCCACCAAAATTGATTTTCAAAAAAGGCCTATTTCGTCTTCATTAGAGCAAATTAAAATTTTTTATAAGAAAAAGCAAATAAAATTTATATATTTATACTTCTTATAATTTCGTCTATTCAAAAAAAGTGTCAAAAAATTTCGTCTTTTAATAAAATAGGTCAAAAACAATTTCGTCTTCAAATTCTAATTTTGGGTTTTAGAACCCGAAATAATTTTGTCAGCATGTATAATTGCTCCTCAAAACTCCTCACTCTACAACTAAATATTTTAAATTTAATTCTTGACAATCTAGTATACACTTATTAACTCAATTAAAGCATATAATATTGACTTAGCTTTTTATAAAGTTCAAGCCCATAGTGATGCCACTTTTAATAATCTAGCTGATCATCTTGCTAATAATCATACATCTTCTCCAACCTTATTGTTTAATTATTCTAATATATAACTCTTCTTTTTCCTTTCAATAAAAAAATTTCTTGATTAATAACCTTCTAGATGCTTTATTAAAAATATCTGCAATGCTAATACTATCTCTATGTGGTTCTCCCAAAGATGTACTGATGAATAGTAATACTTTTCCAACCTTATTGACTAGAATTCTATATGGCTCTACTTTAACAATAATTATAAATATTTATACAATTTTACTAATATAAAACTTAGTCACCTTAAACCTTTTAAAATTAAAATATTATTTAATAATCTATCTACACACTCTCATTTTCATTCTATATCACCTAATATATTCCCATTTTCTAACTGTTTTTAATACAATTTTCCTGACTCTCCTTTTCACTAGTACTCTATAATCTCTTATCTCAAATTATTAATTCTTCTATTTCAGAAATTATTTTGAAAACCAACCTTGATCTTGCTTCTCATGAACTTAATTACTTAATACATACAATTTTATTCCACCCTTCCTTCTCTCTTCACCCTTCTACTCTTTATCCATACTCCCTTCATTTTACCCTTAAAGGTCTTATTCCTTCTCTGCTTGTCTAATGCATATTACTATTTGACATATCTTATTCAATAGCTTCATAGCTAATTATCAAAATCCTTATCAAAATTTCTAATCAATCTACAAACAAATATAGAAATTATACTATATTAACTTTTCTACTTAAAAAAAAGCATACTAAATATCATCAAATTCTACCTCTACTCAAGTTAGCCAACAATTTTCTACTTGTCTTCACACTAGAACTTATAAGGGGGTTTTCAGAAATCAGCTGATTTTTGGGTGGGTAGGTAGGTCAGCCAAAGTATCAGATATAATTCCAGCCAAAATTATTAAATTTTGACCAAAATTAAAAATTTTTTTTAAGCCAAATTATAAATTTATTATTGTTATAAATAAAAAAGAAAGCATATAGTTGTAAAGACTAATATACTTATATCTCATAATATACTAAGCTGATTTTAATATTTTATCTGCTATTTTGATCACAAGATACTCATATACAACTTTACTTAGAAGCTAAAAAGAGATTTACTAAACAAACTTTTAAAAATTACAATAGTTTCTATAATTTTATTAATAAAATTATAAATAATATCAAAATTTACAAAATTACACTAATTAAACCTACCTTTATGTTCTAAATAAGCTTGTTATATATATATATTGGTATATGATTATCTATAATTTTAAATTTTAAGAGAAAAGATACTTAATTTTAAATTTTTGATTAAAAATTTCAAAATTATGCATATTTCTTTTAAACTTTAAAATAACAAGGTAATTATATATTAATATAATATATTTTTATATGTAGCATAAGTTTACTTAGAATATAAAGATAGGTTTCATTAGTAAAAATTTGAGAATAATATTATTTTCTATAATTTTAATAAAAAATTATGGAAAATATTAAAATCTACAAAATTGTACCAATTAAACCTGCTTAATGTTATAAGTAAATTCGTTTTACACATAAATTTATATCATATTTGTATATATATACCTTATAATTTTAAATTTTTTAAAAAAAAGATGCTTAATTTTGAAGTTTTGATCAAAAATTCAAAATTAAGTATTTTTTCTCTTAAAATTTAAAATTATAAAGTAAACATATCTTGATATAATGTATTTTTATGCATAAAACAAGTTTATTTAGAGCATAAAGATAGATTTAATTAATAGAATTGTGTGAATTGTAATATTTTATATAATTTTATTAATAAAATTATGGAAAATATTACAATCTAATTCTACCTTCAAGCTCTAAGTAAACTTGTTCTATGCATAAAGATACATCATATCAGAATATATTTACTTTATAGTTTTAAATTTTAAGAGAAAAGATACTTAATTTTAAATTTTGATCAAAAATTTAAAATTAAGCATTTTTCTCTACTGTAATTATTAAAAATACTTTAATAATGTAAAATAGGTTGTTTTTTTATAATACTAAATATATTATATTAGTGCATAATTTTACTTTGCTTTTTATTTTATAATACAAAAGTTTGCTTTATAATATACAAGTTTGGCTTTAATTTACTTTTAAATATTAAGTGTATACTTTATAAATGCTAAATATATATACTATAAAAATTTATATATATTTATACTAACTTGTATTATCATATCATACTAATTTACTTACTATCTCAGTTTCTAACTTAGAAAAGATTTTTATGCCAATTTTTTTTAACTAAATTTTGGTTAATATGAATGTTTGAGGATAGCTAATATAAAAATATTAATTATTTTAACTCTTGTCATCTTATTATATAAAAATAAGAATAGATTTTTCTTTAAAATAAAAGAGGCTTTCAAAACTGTTATTATAGAAGTAATTTTAATAAACTTATATATTTGATTAAATAGAATTATGAATGATACTATATACTATATAACAAATATAAGTTTATAATCAATCTAAAGAGTCTATCACTGATTATTAATATAATATTTATAAAATCTAAAAATTTTGTGTTCCAGTCATATATCTGAACTGTATATATGTACTTAATATTATTATTAAAATAACAAAAAATAAAAATTTCAAAGTATTGATAGATAATGTTTATAATACCCAATGTAAACAATATACACTTTTTTGAGTTTCTTTAATTATTAAAAAACTGTAAAATTCTTCTATAATCTCATCAGAATTACAATATTTTCCTGATACTTTAAAATATTCAAATATTATAATTAAGGATATTGTGGTCTATAAACATATACTTATAATAATATTGCTATGTCTATAAAAAATTAAAGGCAGTGTGATATAAATACTAACATACTTTTAATATTATCAAATCTTAGACGATTTTATTATATATTTTTTGAGAATATCAATGAACTTTTTATCTTTTGATAATTGTTATAGTGTTTTGTTAGCAGGTTTACTAAAGGATAAATTATTGTTTCTATTTATTAAAATCTATTACTATATATAAAAATAAAAAAAATTAAAAAATTAAATAAAAAAATTGCTAAATAATAATTTAAACTATTATATTTAGAATAAAAAAATTCTAGTACATCCCCACATTACATATATTTTCTAGATGTAATTGATTTTTTATTTTCGTTGGCTTTGTACAAAGCCTTTTGATAATCTTTGGCCATAGCATACTTTTTTGCTTTATTTCTTTTTATGATTATTTTTACTATCTTTAATATTTTAGATATTTTTATATTTATTAGTTTTATCATAGCCTCTAATTTGTCTCCATTCTTTCTATTCTTTAATAACTTGAAGTATTTAATTTGTTATGCTTTTCTTGATTTTAGAATATATATTCAATCTTTGAGATTAATATAAGATATTTTTTCAAAAAAAATCTTATCTGTTTTATATTTAGTTAATACAAAAATTTGTCTAAACTTTATTGTTTTTATATTTATTTGATGAAAACTTTTTATTTGCTAAGTTATAATATTTCTCTAATTTCTTATAATTATATTCATTTACAAGTTCTAACTACTAGAATAGCTTTTAGAAAAAATATTATTAGTCTCATATTTAATTAATAAAAAACTTTTGCTTTCTGAATTACAAGATTTCTTTGATTTCTTATCATTGTTATATTTATTTACAAGTTTTCAAACACCAGAATAGCTTTCAAAGGAAAGTTTATTAGTTTCATATTTATTTGATAAGAAATTTTTATTTTTTGAGTTACAAGTTTTCTTATTAATATTCTATTCATTTATAGTTTCTTGAACAAAAGAATAGCTAGAAAAAAAAATCTTATCAGTTTCATATTCAACTAGTAAAAAGGTTCTATTTAACAAATTATAATGCTTCATTTTTGGTTCTAATTTATCATCATTTCATTTATTTACAAGTTCTTAAACATAAGAATGGTTTTCAAAAAAAATATTATCTACTCTACATTTATTTAGTGCATTTGCCAAATTACAAAGCTTCTTCAATTTTTTGTTAGCATTTTTAGGTGCTTGAAAACATGAATGGTTTTTTAAAAAAAAATATTTATTGGGAAGGCCTATTTCCACTATTATAGTTATACAAAATTTTTTATTTTTAGTATTTATATAGTAAATTATTAGTTTTTTAAAAAATTAAAAAACTTTTAAATAAATAAACCTTTCTTTCAGCTCTAAGTAAGATTGTAAAAGAGACTTTTTTGATTCTAATAGTAGTTAGATCATCAAATTTGGCTTGGTAGATTCTAAGATATTTGGAGAACATAAAGATCTACAAATTCACTATTACATAAAGTGTTACTATATATTTCCAAAAATAAGCTACTCCGAAAACATGCTACCCCTTTTTTTAAGCAAAAAAAGTGAGAATCCTCTCTTACTTAAAAATAAGCTACTTCTGAATTTTTTAAAATTTTTTAACAGTTGTTATATATAAAAGTCAAAATTGTACTAAATAAATTTATGTTTGTCAATTAATGAAAGTTGTTTAAAATTTAAAATTAATACATTTTTGTATTTTAAGTTCAAATTTAAAATGCAAAAGTCTACTATTAATAGTTATCCAAATTGTATAAAATTTTTAGAATATAAGGTAAATATGGGTATTATGGCACAGGTAACTTTTATGGCTGTTATCACATGATCTAATAATCAGAATCAAATGATTTTGCTATCATTCAATTTGTAACATTAAGACAAATTGAATAACACCAAAATCGTTTAATTCTATCACTAGATTACAAGATATTGTAAATTAAAATAAAAGCCAAAAATTAACAAATTATTATATGTGTACCAATTATGACGCACATGTAATATCTTGGGATCTAGTAATTAAAATTGAGCAATTTTAATACCATTCAATTTGTCTCAATAAGACAAGTTGAATGGTGCCAGAACTACTTTATTCTAATCACTACATCACAAGTTACAAGCAATAAAAGATTAAATTTAAAAACTAAAAAAAATAACTTCGATGTGTTGTTAGCAAATTTTTTATTAAGTAAATCAACTTTAATTAATAAGACAATTTTATTTATCGTTATATGTTCTACTTCTAAATTTTTATAAAAATCAGATAATTTTTTATTATAATTTTTATAAAATACATTTTTATACAAAAGAATCTATTATGGTGCAAGTAAGTTTTTTACAAATGACTATTAATAAAAAATTATCTAATTTTTATAAAAATTTAGAGATTAGTAGAATTTAGTATAGTGAACAAAATTGTCTTAATAATTTACTTAATAAAAAAAGCTACTATTAACATACTACGATTATGTTTTATTAAAACTTAAAAATTTAAATTTTTATTTATTTATTTAAGCATCAATATTTTATTATCTAGTAATCAGAATCTGATGATTTTACTACCATTTGATTCATCTTATCGAAACAAATCGAATGGTAGTAAAACTATCTGATTCTGATTGCTGAATCACAAGATATCATGTGTGCGTTATAATTGGTATTGCGCTATAATGCCATACTTACCTTATATATTTTTAAATTTTGAACAACTTTTATTAATTAATAAATATAGATTTACTTAGTACAATTTTGACTTTACATATAGAAACTACTTTTATTTAATAAAAAATGATCAAAAATCTTTTTTACCCAAAATTAAGCTACTCTCAAAATTTTCATATAATTTTTTTCCAAAATAGTAGCTTATTTTTAGAAATATATGATATAGTCTATAATACTTATATTCACACCTTTAAATCCAAATATCTTGGGATTTACTAGACTAATTGTAATAATCTAACTATAATTAGAACTAGAAAAATGTTCTCTACAACTATACTTAGAATTAGAAGAAATATTTATTTATTAAAAAAATCTTTAATTTTTAAAAAACTAACTTTAGCTTTAATTAGTCTAATTTTAACTCTAAAGTTGATAAGTAAATCTTTCTTTTAACTCTAAGTAAAGTTGTAAAGAAGATTTTCTGGTTCTGAATTATTAAAACCAGCCTGGCGAATCCCAAGATATTTGGGGTTAAAGGCATGAATATAAGTATTATAAACTAGAGTATATCTGAATATATAGCAAATTTGTGGATCTGTAGGTTGTATTATGATAATGTTCAATGATTATCTATTATACATAACCAATAAAAATTTGCTATATAGTAATTTTTTTTTAAATCTGTGAGATCACAGAACACTAGATACATACTTTATATATTAATTTTTAATATATCTACTTGTTTAAAATTAATGAACTCATTTTTTTGTTTAATTATAGAAAATTAAAAGAATTTAATAAAAAAAATAAACTTATTGAATTTAATCAGTTTGGTGCTAATATCTTTAGATCTAAAACTTTAAACACCTATTATTAAATAACAATTTATTTTTAAACACCTATTATTAAATAACAATTTATTTTTAAACTTTGAAGATATCTCAGTATTGATTTGGTCAAAATTAATAAATATTTTTTTATTTTATTTGTAGAGATTAATATAGTTTAAACAAAAAAGTTTATTGATTTTGGTTAGATGAATGCTGAGATACTTTCTATTTAAGTTTGTACCTATTATTAAATAACCGTTATCTCTAAATTTGATTAAAAATATCTCAATATCTATCTAACAAAATAATATTATATCGCATAATAAATCATTAAAACATTTTTTATTTCTATTATTATATATATACAAACAATTAAGTTTAAATAAAGATAAATTGATAAACTCTTTTCTATAATTATTTGGACTACAATTTCCAAAAAACTTTTTACTAGAAAAAAAATAATATACTAGAGTAAAGTCAATGACTCTTATATAAGATATGGGAAAAGGAACTGTAAGTCAGCAGCTGTTATCTAAAGGTAGCTCTCATATGCTACTTGCTAACAGCTTTAAAGTTTATCACTCACTAATTGCAAACATAGCATTTGTCATTTAGAAGTAGTTCTCATACACTACTTGCCAACAAGTTTAGAGTTTATTATTTACTGAAAAGACTTATTACTAGTCAGGCTCAGGTGGATAGTTAATTCTAGTAAAAGAAAACCAATGCTCTTTTGGTGGTTTCAAGTGTTTTTTCTCTCTCTTGTATTTTGCCAACCTTATCAAAAAAAAATTTGACAAAAAGTGGGCATTTCAGCTTACTCTCTCCAAAAGATTGGCATTGTTTATACTTACCTAATTCGGACGAACTCAGTAAAATGCAACCACGTGTTTGTTTTGTTTATTATTACAGTGCTACAATACAGGGATGGGATTGATAACCTCTGTTTAGGAGATATCTGATTCTGGTGATATGTCCAGAATGAGTTCCAACGTTAAAGCGAAGCTTTATAGCCAAGATATATTAATTAGTTGCAATTAGTATATAATTTTTACTTTTATATCTAGCATGGGTTATAATAGTGAATTTTTTTTTTGTTGCTTTTGTTTGTTTTTTTTTTAAGGTGGTTTATCAGGACTCTTATGTCTTTTTTCTGCTCTTTTCATCTTTGTCCTATTATAATGGAACTATATTTAGAACCCCTTTTCTTTTTTCAGTTAAATGTTTTTTTTCTTTCTCTTTCTTTTTCTAGATAGTTTTGTTTTTTTTCATGGATGTGGCATATTTTTTCTTCTCTTACAGAAAAGTAAGAAATAAACTATTCTGCCCAGATCTAGATAGAAAAAGTTTAAAAGAAAGGGTAGATAGTCTTAATGAGCTAGTGGGAACTTTTTAGTGAAGATTTATTCTTTTCAAGTGCAGAAAAGAATATTTTGGAGAAGAATTCTGTCTATAGCAAGTTCATATATGGGTAATTTGGACTCTGGTCAAAAAGAGCTAAGTGAGCTAATACTTGTAATTTAGATGGCATTAGAGTTTATACTCTTACAGTATAATATTATAAAGCCTAATAAAGTAGAGACAAGACTGCTAAACTATTAAAAAAAAAAATAAAGATAAATTGAAATTTGAAATAAGTTTGTTAGATCTTAACAAGATTATATAGTTATAATATACAAATATATATATATACTTCCTTTGAAAACATATAAGAATATGCTGTGTGTATATAATAAAAATTTAACAATGAATATAGCTTTTAAGTTTGATTATTAAAATTAATATGCCAACTTTAAGTAACTTTTAGATCTAATATGTATATATGTACAGAGATTCATATAACAAATTTTTATTGGATAATCATTTAACATTACTATGATGCAACTTGCAGATCTGCTGTATATTTAGATGTACTCTTATTAACTATAATACTATATTTTCTCCAAAATAAGCTACCTCTTAAAATAAGCTACCCCTCTTTTATACAAAAAACCTAAAAATTTCTTTAGCCTGAAAGAAGCTACCTCAAATTTTTTAAAAGATTTTAACAGTTGCTATATATAAAAGTCAAATAGTACTAAGTAAATATATATTATAAGCTTAATAAAAGTTGTTTAGAATTAAAAAATACATATTTTCTGAAAGTTTTATACAATTTGGATAACTTTTAATTAATATATTTTTGCAGTTTAATTTTAAACTTTACATGCAAACTGTACTAATAAAAGGTTATACAAATTGTATGAAATTTTCAGAATATGTGTATTTTTTAATTCTAAACAACTTTTATTATGCTTATAATATAGATTTACTTAGTACTATTTTGACGAATATATATATAAACTACTTTTACTTAATAAAAAATAATCAAAAATCAATTTGTTTCCAAAATAAGCTACTTTGGAAATTTTTGTATAATTTTTAGCCCAAAAATAGTAGCTTATTTTGGAAAAAATACAGTACTTTGTATAGCAGTGAATTTGTAGATCTTTATATTTGTGCCTTTAACCCAAATATCTTGGGATTCACCAAGCTAATTTTGATGATCTAACTACCATTAGAACCAGAAAAGTCTTCTCTACAAGTTTACTTAGAACTAGAGAAAATGTTTATTTATTAGTTTTAGGTTTGATTAAAGTTAGAAGTTAGAGTTAGTGTTAGAGTTAAGGTTAGGGTTAATGTTAGAGTTATGAGTTTTTTATATTATTATCTAAAAATAGAAAATCTTGTATAACTATGGTGAAAATAGTAAATTACTATAGTAGAAATATTAGCCCACTAACTTATACAGTAAGTAGAAAAGCAATAGAATACTAAAATTACTCACTTTTCTATATATTCATACTCATTTAACATTAATTACAGTACTAACTATGCTAATTATTGTACATATATATGGGTTTTATGTGACGACCCATACTTTTTCATTTATAGTCTAACCTCTCTACAGTTACATCCTTGGTTCCAAGAAATACTGTGCTTATAAGAAATTGTGCCTGTATAGAGGTCAAATTTCTTATATTTTATTAGTATACTATAAAGAGGGTGTGACTATACAGGGAGTGACTATATAGACTGTATTTATTGGCATGAATTTCATATTTAAATTCTGTGCTAGGTTATAAAATACTGTCCATATTACAGTATTACAGATTAGAGTTTTACATATGTGAATTAATCGGTTAGTATATATAACAAAGATTTTCTTGAATTTAATACTTTACTCTCTACTTTTAATAGGCTAGTTATGACGGTTTTGTGATATTATTTTTATACTTTCAGTATATGCATTTACCAAAAGTATTTTATATGCTGAATTCTTGAATTATGATTAAAGTTTTTGCATAGTTATTAATTTCTTTAACCTGTTTATATTATTTAGTTTTTTATTTTCCAAATTATCATGAAATTATTTTAGTGTTTTAGTCAGTTTTAAGGCTAGCATTTATTCATCAAGTCCAAAAAAAATTTTTTCTGAATATTTATACTGAAGACCATATATTTATTACTCAAGTTCAAAAGTTACTACAATCATTTTACTTAATGAAAATAACTAAAATATAGATAAAACATATATATATACATATGTAGGTTGTAAAATATATATTTATATATGTAAAAAAAAACTCTCATCTCATGACACAATATAATATTATAATCTTTCTTATTATTTAATAGTGTAAAAAAATCACCAATATGTATTTGATATTTAGATTTAGAATATTTCTAGTTTACTAAAGCTAAGTATTTCTAAAATACTTTAAGATTCTCAGCTTTGAATTCTGTATCAATTTGTTGTTTAAAAAAGCTAATAAACTTATTTAAACCTATTAGCCCTTCTGAAACAGGAATTTGCAATAGTTTTTCATCCGAGTCATTAGGGTCTTTATTTTCTTCATCTAAAACAATTTCAATAATTTTTAATTTTTTAGTTTTTTCTCAGTTATAATATGTAATTCATTGAGATCTAAGTATGTATTTAATTAGCTTTTAATTTCTGAATCTGGATCTTGAGAGGTCAAATCTATTACCAATTCATCGATATTCTCTTTTTGCTATTCTAAAAAGGTGCCTAACTATTAATTTTCATGGGAAACCAATGCTAAAATTCTAGTCTTTCTTCAACAATTCACAATTACTTGATCTTCAACAGCATATCAAGACTCAAATACATAGTAAATAGTATCTTTAATATTTAACTTTTTCTAATTGAAATTAAAATATAATCAGTATTTAAAAAAAACTTGTAGCAGCTTATACTGAGATTGGCTAAAGCTTAGATTTGGCCTCAAATCTATAATATCTACTATTTTAGATCTTAGTTTTAGCTGATCTCAGCTTTAGCTTCTATAAAACTATTATATAATTAAAGAAAGAATAAGTTTTTTTACTTTTTTAAATCTTCAATTTTTTCAAGTTGTATTAATATATAATAAATATATTTTTGTTTAAATTTAGATTTGAAACTTTTAATAACACTTGTATTTATAAGCTAAAGATATGCGATGGTATTAGAAGGCAAAATTTAAGTTTAATATTGGTTAATTGAATATTTAAATAATCAGAAATGATATGTGATTAACCATAACTACAATCATAACAGCCCTTACTTCTGCCAGTACCATGACTACCACAACTACTATGACTACTACAACTATCATAACTATGATTAGTGTTTGCACTCTAATTGGTTTTAGTTAGTCTTGGCCAACCTCAACTTTGATGATTCTTATGTAGAACAGTTGTTATTTCAGGTTCTAAATTATTAGGTGTTTCTTCATCAAATCAGAATTTGATTTAGTTGACTTATTTGAATTATGTAATTTATGAACATTTGGTTGGTTATGAAAATGTGATGACTCATTATCTACTATTAACAAGACTTGACAATTCTGAATACAAAATATCTGATACAAATTTTTTTAACTATTCAGAAAATATATCATTAAACATCCATACTCAAAATTTGCACAATAGATAACTGATAAGAAATCTTCCTACTTATAACATGCTAATCTCTGTTACTAATTGAAAAAAGTAATGGGCCCCATGAAATACCCCTGTTAATGCAAGATATTTCATGGGCCTGTTACTTTTTTCAATTAGTGATAGAGATTAGTGTATCATAAGTAACTCCGTTAATCAGAGATTTTTAAAGTCCACCAAAGTGTCGTGGTCACGTGATCTTTGTCTTTCGTGTTTCCATAAAATTGGATAAAATTCAAACTCCGCCGAATCAGAGTTTGAATTTTGTTAAGTTGCAGTCGGTTTATTAAAAAAAAATATGATTAATTGAAAAAATCGGCCGCTAAATTTTTAGGCATGATTGATATATAAAAAATATAATATCTACGTCATAAATTAAATATTTTACTGTAATATTGAAGTCTAAATTAAATATATTTTTGAATTTGTTCAATTTTTATTAACTGTAATATTGATATAATATCTACGTCTAAATTA